GGGGGGAGGTGCTAGTGTCAGAATATTCCACAATCAGCAATGAGATGGATAACAATAATAATAATATAATAATCCTTGCATTTGATACAGCGCCTTATCATGTCTTTGAGACATCTCAGAGCGTTCACAGAATATAGTGAATTGACTGTATATTTTGCTGGATGTCCAACTAATGCATATCTTTCATATTGGGGGTCGGGGGTGGGGTGGGGGTGAATAGCGACGAGGGAGATGATTAGTGAGCAGGACACCCACTCTGCTTCCGAATGTTTGGTTAAAAATAGGTCCACAAATTGAGGAGGCCAAGAAATGGGAGTCACTGACTGTACATAGAACGAGACAAAGAGACACGCGGACTTGGAGGGTCGTGGGAGAAGCACGAGAGACGGAGCTGAACTGAACACAGGAATCCTAGTCGTGCGGGATTAAATGCCAGCGCTGAGCAGACATTCGGTGGAGACTTTAAGTAGGTTTTAAATCAATCGGCAACAGAGAGAGAGAGAGTGGAGAGGGAGGGGGGAGGGGGTGGGGAGTCTGAAAAAGAATGGTTGTGGTTAAAGGAAGGAGGGAGGGCGGGAGCGCTGGAGGGTGTTGTGTGACAGCAGGGAAAGAATAATTACCCACACTGCGAGACGGTGTGATTAGGGCAAGGGGAAGCGGTGATCACAAGAGAAATGCTAAGCAGCCATTTACAATATTCTAGCAGGAGTTTTTCTGGCAGACACACAGGGCAGAGAATGGGCAGGAAGCAAGGAACCTTGGAGTTGCGTCCATCGCCACCTCTCTCTCCGCCTCTCGTCCCTCCTCTCCCTCCCCCCTCTCCTCCGCAACCTGTGCTCCCAATAGGTGCTGGGCCTAAATGGGAAAATCAGCCTCTTACTGATAATAATAATAATCCTTGCATTTGATATAGCACCTTATCGCGCCTTTGAGACACCTCAAAGCGCTTCCCCACAGGATTTACGCTGAAGTGTAGTGACTGTATATTGTGGCGAAACGCAGTAGCCAATGGCGCACTGTACCCTGGCTCCCTCCCTCCCAATGTACGTTCTCTGGCTGAGTCAGGCACTGACACAGATGTCCCAGTGAGGTATTTTACATTAATGAAAACTAAATGGAACTGCACAAGATCTCGCCCACAAAAACACACGGTCGATTCACTTTACAGTGTAGTCTGTGAAGCGCTCTGAGACATCTCGAAGACATGATAAGGCACTACAACAAACGCAATGATTATTATTATTATTTATTATTAATATTTATTATTATTATTATTTGGCGCTCTCGCTAATTACACTTTTGTTTCCAAAATAAGAGGCTTTGGGATTCTGAGCTGAGTGACAGGCCGTCACTTTGGATTGAGGGCTGTGGTATCAGAGGCGACTGGTTATGGATGAGATGTTTAAACGAGGTCCCATCTACCTGTTCGGGTGGGTGTTAAATATCCCCTGGAGCTATTTGGAAAGGGTTGTTCCTGGTGTGTCCTGGACGACATTCTTCCAGGTAAATTTGTTTTTCACTATATGGCTGTTTGTGGGGCACTGCTGTGTGTAAATTGGCTGCTGTACCCAGATATCCAATTACTACACTTGACTCTCTCTCTCTCTTTCCCGAAATTGGGGCGTTATCAAATGTGAGGATAGTTATTATTGTAATAAAAGACGTTTTCGCCTACAAAATGCAGAGTCACTACACCTTAGAGTATATTCTGTGAAGCGTTTTGAGACGTCTCAAAGACGTGATAAGGCGCTATAGCAAATGCGAAGATTATTATTATTATAATTATTATTATTATTATTATTATTCTGCTCTCACAGAGACCAGGGAGGGTTGAAGACACCGTCTCTTCATACCTATGAGTTTGGGTCTTGGCGTCTCCACAGGCTACAGACCTCCTGCAGCTCAGTGGAGCCGGGTGGCCTCACACCAACAAGCCCTCATTATTGCCCTAAATGAATGGTGAGATACAAAGCTCTGAGATGCACAGACCTGCCACAGGCCTCAGAAAGCCTGGCAGTCACCTGGTCTCCACTCCGCACTTGAGCTACACTGAGAAAGGTTCGATTGGCATGTTTTCCTTGAAGTCAGTGCGTGGCTCAGAGACAGAATGTGGAATGGGTGGGTGGTGGGAAGGGGGAGAAAAGGGACTGCTTTTCTCACTTAAGATCAGCACCTAATGGAACGCTGTAACATCTCCGTGTAGTCTGAAGGCCAGCAACAATCTGCCACATTGATATCTGCCATCGATCCAATACTGATCAACACCCCACCTCCCCGGATACATAAGGACATAGGAGGAGGAGACCATTCGGCCCATTGATCCTGTTCCGCCATTCTATTAGATCATGGCCGATCGGTACCTCAACTCCAATTACCCGCCTTTGCCCCATATCCCTTGATTCCCTGACCTAACAAACACCCTATCCACCTCAGTCTTGACAATTTCTATGGATCCAGCATCCAAAGCCTTTTGGGGGAGAGAGTTCCAGATTTCCACTACCCTGTGCAGAGACACACTCACACCCCTTGTAATATTGGGAGTCCACTCCCAGGATCTGTTATTCTATATATAATCCCCACACCCCCCAAAAAAACTTTTATTGGATTCCATCCTGTTGGTAGTGTGGAAAAGTTCCCTCTTCACACCTTCCTGAACAAAATCCTGTAAAAACCGTGTAGACTATAAATGACTGGGAACTGACCAAACAGCCTGAAGTTCCACCTAGTCTCAGTCTTAACATTTTTTTATTTTTTTAAAGAGTTGCGGGGGAAAAAGAAATGGCTTCTGAGTTAAGGCCGGATTTAATATTAATAATAATAATAATATTTTCATTTGATATAGCGCCTTAGCATGTCTTTGAGACGTCTCAAAGCGCTTCACAGAATATACTGTAAAGTGAATTGACTGGATATTTTTGTGGGCGAAAATATACAAAAAAGTAAGAAATTTTCACCTAGTTCTGCCCGACCTTACCAACCTTTAAGACAAAGCGATCGTGCAGAGTAGAACGGGGGAGTGGGTGGTGGGGAGGAATATCCTATATGTATATATATATAACTGCACCAATAAAATAAATCACAACAGAATTAACTAACACCCGAGACTGTGGGGTTGGGGGTGGGGCGGGGAGTGTGGTTTGGGAATGAGTTCTGTTTGCTCACGTCCACTTTTGCTCAAAGACATTGCAACGCAAACAGTTTGCTAACTCCGATTAAGACTTCACTGAACACGGAGGTTTCATTCCCTCTCACAGGCAGAGTGCGGGAGGGAGAGAGGGAGAGAAGGAGGGTGGGAGGGAGGGTGGGAGGGAGGGTAGGGGGGAAACGTGAAAAGTCGTCTTAAATTCTCCAGGTGGGGGAAGGGGAAAGAGGGAGGGAGGGAGGGGAAAGAAGGAGGAGAGCGATGAGGGGAGAGATGGTTGAGGAGGGAAAAGGAGATGAAGGGGTGAACGAACGCGTGGGGCAGTGAGGAGCAAAGGAGAAAAAGGATTAAATATCTCAAGCAGTCTCTCTCTCTCTCTCTCTTGCAAAAAGCCATCAATCTAGACCTGGACACCGATAAATCACTCGTTCTCTTCTCCCCCCTCCCCTTAAGAAAGAAAAGCATATTAAAAGACGGGGATCGCCGAGACTTGAAGCGCTCATATCTGCAGCATTGTGCGTGTGTGTGTGTGTGGGGGGGAGGTTTGGGGGGGGGGTGTGTGGAAAGTGGGGTGTGTGCGAGGATCTTATTATACTTAAAGCTCCGAGCACTTTGTGGTGAGCACAGTATAAATAACCTAACCTCTCCATCAACGTTAACTCCTCATTGCAGACCAGGGAAGTGGGGTGGGCTTTTATAAAAAAATTAATATCACAACTAATAATTTGTGTGGGGGGGCTGCGTGTGGAGGGGGAAGTCATATAACTTTTTTTTAACGATTCAGAATAACTCAAGGAGTTTCCCAAACGCACTCTCTCGGAGGTAGAAATAATAATCCTTGCATTTGATGTCGTGCCTTAACTTATCACGTCGTCGAGACGTCTCAAAGCGCTTCACAGGATACACTGTAAAGCGGAGTGGCTGTGTAATTTTTTTGTGGGCGAAACGTGCCAGCCAATTGCGCACAGCGGTGTCCCGCGAACACTCGTGGATGGAGTGACCGAATTTTTCTTTGTGTGTGTTTTTTTGGGGGACATTGTATTATTGTTGAAGAACCGAGAAACAAAGAGCGATGTGGGATGACCCCTAACCCTGCTGACTGTACACACAAAGCCAGTCTTTCAAGCATCTCTAACGGCAGATCTCCTACCCAACACCCCCCCCCCACTACCTCCCCCACCACCACGCGCACCCCTTCCCACCAGATCTCCGACACCGAAAAGCACAAGGGTTTCAGGAGAAGCGATGGAAGCAGCGAGAGAGTGAGAGAGAGGCGGCAAAAGAAAAACAACGTGAGAGAGAGAGAGAGAGAGGGAGGGAATTCAACAGGGGAGGGAGGGAGGGAAGGGGAACAGAATTGAATTGCAGAAACTTTTTTCTAAAACAGCGTGTTTTTTTTGGCGGAGTGAATAGAAGCAGAGATTAACCCGCAAACACACTGAGGGAAACAAAAAGATATTTCACCCCCACACCCCCTGCCCGCCCACCCACCCCCCCCCCAAAGAAATTGTCCCCCTTCAAACCGAGCCATTTACCTCCGATTGTGGTTCCAAGAAAAAAAAAGTCTTGTCTACTCCAAAATATACAATACCTCGCTATATTATTTCATACATAGCTGCAATCCATCCTAAATATACATTTACAATCATAAATCGTTAATGCGTATCCTGGTAGCAATTCGCCGAGGAAAAATTCGGAAGGCAATGGTCACAGGCAAGACGCAAGCATTTTTCTGAGAAAAATACATAGTTTTTTTTAAAACTATTCTTAGAAAAACGTTAAATCATTCACCGTCGATCCTGTCCCCACCACACCAACTCTTATTACACATAATAAGCACCCCCGCTCCAGTACTGACCTATAAGAATCCTGAAGTCCCACAAGTTGTTAAGAATCCTTTTTCTTTTAGCAAAACTTTCACTCTCTGCCTCTCCTTTCCTCTCCTCTCTCTCTCGTATCCCGTCTTTGCCAAAGAGAACATTTTTTCTCAGTCCCCGCTGCTCTCTCTTCTCTCGTTTTCGTCTCGTCTCTCGCTTCTCTGCTGTTTTTCACCCTGTAAACTTGCTCGCAGGTGCTCTCAGTCACCCCTGGCTTCCTCGAAGGGCTAAATAAATCCACTTTATAATCTTGAAAAGTTCCAAGGGCTTTTTTTTAAAAAAATATTAATTAAGTATAAAAATAAAAAAAATCTTCTTCTCAAGACCAGAGGAGCGATGCCTGAGCATGCTCAGAGAGAAAGAGAGCTCAAAACTGTTTTAATGAACATTACTTCCTCTCCAATGGCTGGCTACTCCTACTCTTTCCACCAGTCCCCACCCTCTGCAACCTAGGAATGTGCCTGAACCAAAGTCCAGACAACGAACGAGCCAGACAAGCCCCCCTCGCTCGCCTCCAACCCCCTCCGCCCCCCACCCCCCCCATCGCCAACGATCAATAAACCTGCAACCACAGCTTGTGACCTGTGGGGGTCAGATTGCCAAATAGGACTGGATTCTCAGTCGCCACCCTCTGACCCTTTCTCACACAGCTTCGCTGCAATTACAAAGGCACTCAGCCTCCTGAATACAAGTGCTGAAGTGATACCCCGATTCCACAAATGGATTTCAGGCTAAACCCCCCCACCTCCATCGCCCCCATCGCCCTATTCCCCCCTCCACCCCGGCTCCAACTCCAGCTTCCCCCTTCACCACAAAAAACACCCACACCCACACCCACACACAAATGTTCTGTGTCAGGCTACCCACTGGTTTTGCAACAAAGCTCCTGAACTTTAGATCATTTTAAATTCAGTGCACAAAACAAATAAGAAAGGGGAGAGCGAGAGATAGAGACAGCAGGTTAACGCACAGACGAGAGAGAGAGAGCGTGTTACACACAGGATAACACAGGCTGAAGTGTTTTCACATAGAATAACACAGGCTGGAGTATGTTACATCCAGGATAACACAGGCTGGAGTATGTTACATCCAGGATAACACAAGCTGGAGTGTGTTACATACCGGATAATATAGGTTGGAGTATGTTACATACAGGATAACTAGGCTGGAGTATGTTACATGTAGGATAACATAGGTTGGAGTATGTTACACACAGGATAACATAGGCTGGAATGTGTTACACACAGGATAATATAGGCTGGAGTGTGTTACACATAGGATAACACAAGCTGGAGTGTGTTATATACAGGATAACATAGGTTGGAGTATGTTACACACAGGATAACACAGGCTGGAGTGTATTAATTATCAATTTAACCACAAATACAATAGCCGACTGAATGTGGGGGAACCATCCCTGGGGCTTTGCCGTGCTGGTTGGACCTGGAACATTTCACCAGAGCGGTATCTGTTGCCGATCCTTGGCTGCCTGTCACCGCCATTGCTGTTTGGGAGCGCGGTGTCTGAGTCACACCGGCACGAGATAGCAGCAACATCACCGGCAACAACCAAATGGTGGGAAGAGGCTGGATGAGCGAACTGCCTCCTGTGAGAGGCTGGTGTGGGGGGGAGGGAGGGAGGTTGCTGGGGGGTTCTGTGCTGACTCCTACCTTCATCGAACTTCGAAGCTTCGGTGCCTCTCGTTGGCCGGATCCGAATTCACCAGCCGCATAACCTTCGGGTCCTATGACAAAGCACAAACACCCATCGGTTGGTTATCTCGGCGAAAACGTGACAGACACAAGAATGGGTAATAATATTATTTTACCCGCCATGACGTGTGGAGTGTGGAGGAAGGTCAGCTGGGAGATCGCAGGGGAAGTTGGCGATGCACCATCTGAAGCAAAGTGCGATCATATTAGATTAAATACTAGGGAAAACCGTTGCTCTACTTGTCAGTGAATTTGGGGGGGGTGTGGGGGTGGGAGCACCCGATTCATCGTTTGTCTCCGTGACCATTATAATACTAATAAGAATCCTTGCATTAGATACAGAACCTTATCACGTCTTCGAGACGTCTCAAGGCGCTTCACAGGATGCACTGTAAAACGAATTGACTGTGTATGTTGGGGGAGAAAGGGTTGAAATCAATCGGGGACTCTACCCCGTGTGCGTGAGGGGCGCTATATAAGTGTGAGTTGTTGTTGTTGTTGTTGTTGTTGGTGGTGGTGTAGCTTACAGTTCTATTTCAGCCTCGGGAACCCCGCAAAGGGAGGGAACCGGGGAACGAGACACAAAGGCCATTTAGGGCACCCTCTCCTGCCTCCTGGTGGTTGTCAACGGCAGTGCAGGCTCGGCCGGGCTGGGGCACGTCCGTAAGGGATGTGTCCGTGTCTTGGTACAGGGTAAGCGGCAAGCTACGCGGTTCCAGCCGGTTGAACTCCAGCAGTTTACACCCCAACACACACTCCCGGGGTCCCCCCCCCCCCCCCAAGCCTTGGAACCTTCACCTAATGAATCAGGTGAGCAGCGAGAGAGAGAGAGAGAGAGAGAGCGAGAAGGTGCATTCCATTCCAGACACCAGGTAATTTCCATCCAGAGATGGCACACATGGAAATATCAGTCTGGTTTGGATGCTTTTACTTAGTGATGGGTTTCCGCAGTTGCCCAAACCCCCCCCCCCCCCGCCCACTGCATAATAATACGATAATAATACTAATCCTTGCATTTGATACGGCGCCTTATCACATCTTCGAGATGTCTCAAAGCGCTTCGCAGGACACACTGCAAAGTGAATGGGGTGTATTAGTAGAGTATATTTTGTGGGGTGTGTAATTGTACTGGCACTTGACGTAGTGCCAATAACAGTGAACACACATCGCCTTATCACACCTTATGATTCTATAATGAGGAAATAAGCACAGTGCTGCCATCTTTGTGCCCTGTGATCCTGGGAACTTGCCCTTGGCTTCCTCACTACACTTGACAGTACAGTAATTGCCTGAGATGTGCTTTGAGGTATTTTGACGTGAAAAGGAGGTGAGGGGGTGGGGGGGGGAGGGGGCGGGTTGGGCGGTGGGGGGGGGTTAGGGAGAAGAGTCTAAATTACGGTGATGGTATTGCTTCATAAGGAATTCCCAACAGAATTTTGCTCCCATCTGAACAGAATTCACGTAGTGACGTGTCACCAATATAATAATAATCCTTGCATTTGATACAGCGCCTTATCATGTTGTTGAGACGTCTCAAAGAGCTTCACAGAATTATACTGTAAAGCGAATTGACTGTATATTTGGTGTTACCCATAAATTAGCCCCCCCCCCCTCTCTCTTTCTCTCCCAAATTCGAGTGACGATATGGGGTGGGTGAGGGGAGAGGGGGTTTTCCTGGGCAGCTATAGGCTGGGTACTGTGTTGAAATAGTTACCGTTGAATTTCAGGCTATGTTCAGACTGTGGGGGGGTTGGAGATTTGGGGGAGGGGGGGGGGGTTGTGGGTGCAGCTTTCGTTCCTGAACAGGCTGGAATCTCTATATTTATATTCTGCATACAGCATATTTTGTGAAGCGCTTTGAGACGTATCAACGACGTGATAAGGCGTTCGATCAAATGCAAGGTTTATTATTATTATTATTATTGAAGCCCGGTGTCTCTGAACACAAGCACAAATCCAGCCGCCAACTAAATCCCACGGGACGCAAAACGCAACCGGAGACTTAGACGCGGTTGAGGGAACCAACAGACGGGACGGACCAAGAAAAAGATAGAGAAAAAATATTCACCCTGGTGACCGAAAATTGTCATGAGACAATGCACCGTTCAGACATATTGTCTCAAAGCCCGTGCTTCCCGTTTCATATCACAACCGCTCGCACAATCGCCCAGCTTTGACATGTTACATGACGGCTTGCTTACCTCTCGCATCTTTTTAAAGAACAATAATAATAAATAATAATAATCCTCGCATTTGATATAGTGCCTTATCGCGTCTTTGAGACGTCTCAAAGTGCGTCACGGAAAAGTGAATTGACTGTATATATTTTGTGGGCAAATAAAAGACGAATAGGCAAATACTGTATATATATATTCAAAAAAATTCTACATCTTACATCGCGGCTCCGAGTCTCTCAAAATGTTTGCCTCCTGGCGTGCGTTTGCCCTGGCGTCGGTCTGTGTGCCCTCCGAGAAGACAGAACAAAACAGCAATGGAGATTTCAGCCCAGCGGGTATGTCGGTCGGAACAAGCCATGATGTGAAGGCAAACAGCAAGGATGTGCCATGCTTTGAGTTATGCGTTTTTTTCCCTCATGCTTTTCGCTTGTGCAAATCCGTTACAACACCACCCTCCCTCCGACCCGTCCCCCCACTCCCCCCTCTCTCTCTCCTCCACACCCCCCTCCCCTCCGCCTCGCTCAACACCCGCCCTCCCCTCCGCCTCGCTTAACACCCACCCGCATCAGTATGGTGCATCCCCTCCTTCTGACGTTTTAAGTTGCAGCAACAGAGCAAGCGTTTTAACTCTTGGAGGATCAGTGGCAGCCGCTGATGTCTGGCGATGTCCCTGCAATGCCCTCCACCCACTCACCCACCTACGACCGCAGTGCACCATCTTCTCCAACAACCCCCACCCCCAACACGGACAAATGTTACCTCATGCCTCGTTGACCACTGAGTATCCCACTCCACTCTCTCTCTCTCTCTCTTCGCTCTCCCATCACTCCACCCTCCGAGGCTGTTCCATACTGACCTAAATCTCAACGATCGATACCACAAATGCAAATCGTCCTGCAGAGCTGTACACGATACCAAGCTGTGTCAGGCTGGGCTGGTCTGGTCTGGGCTGGGCTGGGGTGGGAGACAAGCCTGGCGACTGGTTAGACCACGTGAATAAGGCTGCAAAGAGTCCTGACGTGAAAGCGTCCGTCCACGTGAATCCATCGCTGTGAAACGGGGGGTGAGGGGGGGGAAGAAATGGCACATTTGCACCTTTCTGCCGTGTTGCATTCAGGTTGCAGGAGCTTTTAATCTGAATTTCCCGCTGGGTTCGGTTACCGAAGTCCCTCTCGGTGTCAATCCACGTGAAGGACGCTGTACAGGTGCAAGTTGTTGTTGTTTATTGACTCCCCCTGGAATTGCACAGCACACAGAGAGAGGCTGTCTGGGCCGTCGTATTTGTGCTAGCTCTGAAAGAACTCTCCGCTCGCTCGCTCCCTCCCCCCCCGCCCTGCCCGCCCGCTCGCTCTACACACACCCTTTATATTTCCCCCTCATTTGTCTAATTCCCTTTCAGAAGCCATTATGAATTGTGCTTCTTTCCGGTTTTCGGATGAACAGACACTCCACGTCCTAATATAAGGTTAAGATCCAAGGAACAAGTTCCGAGTTATAGCGTTATTGTCTGACATAACCTTTCACTGCATTTCCCTGCAAACTCCAGTCTGCGTTTGAATCAGACACTTCATCTCACGTCTTGCACAGTATAATCAACAGCACA